GGACCTTTGAAAGCAGAAGGGACAGGACTGTTGCTTCCACTACCTCCACTTTGCCGGGCCATGGAGCTAGCATGTTGGTCAATAAACAAAGCTCCAGTAGGGCTACTCATGGCTGTCTGAGAGGTCAGTCCAGGAGAGGGCTTAGGACTAGAAGCCGCAGGCGCCACTGGTAATCCACCAACACCTTGCATGCTGGGAGTAGAACGTCCAGGAGTGAGGGAGGACATCCCTGAGGGTGTGTAACTACGGATAACTGAATGTGACTGGGTAGAGGGAGTGCCAGGGAGCAAAAGTGCTGACTGGGAATCTGAGGAGGGTGGGTACCCCTTCTTTGAGTGTAATCCCATAGCTCCATGAGGAGTCAAGGGATCACCAGTTGCTCTGGGAGTAGATGTGAGCCCACCAGTAGGTGTTTCTGAGTGGGGAGCACTGTGGAAGGGAGAAGAAGGGATGGTTGTACTTGGCCCGGGTGTTCCACAGGGTGTTCCAGATGGGGTATGACTTTTAATGACTGAAGGGGTGTTTCGACCAGAAGGGGGCATGCCAGGAAACGGAGAAGGAACTGGCGTGGTGTGGCCACTGGAGTTTGAGGCAACTTGGGGAGAGCCAGCTGGGACAGGAGGCCCTTTGATGACTGAGGGCAAGGGGGCAGGAGTAGGCGAGGGGGTTACAGGGTTCTGGGATGGGACCATGCCAGGAAAAACTGGAGTGATTGGTGTGGTAGGCTGAGGCTGGGAGGTGGCAGGAGTGGATGTGGTGGAATTATTAGGAGAAATAGCAGGTGTGCCAGAGATGTTGGAGGTTGGATTTTGTTGACTGATAGGTCGGCTGTAACCTGAAAATATGAAACAATCAGCACAATGAAATATTAAAAGGAAGAAAGTCCTATGAAATGAAGACAACGGTACCACATGACTAAGTTTATTAGTGTTCGATTTGAAAGACGCATTAGAAAGCGAGAGAGAATTCAGGAAATCTCCCAATCCACTAGCTGCACAATAAGATGCACAATGCAGCAGAGCAAGCATTCATGCTGTAAACATGGACTGACAATATATGACATAGTGCCCCCTTGAGATAAAATGAATAAGGCAAAGTTGTTGCAAACCTATACTAAATAATTTTCTGGGTTCAATAGAAAAATTAAACTTATCAAATTTAAATTTAGTTAAATTTAGGCATATTACTAAGTCAAGTCTAAAACATTAGTCTCCCCACAAAGATTTAAAGAGCAGGTCATATGGGTTTTCGAAAAATATCTCTTTGGCAGTTTGTAAGGTAGCTATCCTTCAATGTAAACAGTCTGCAAAATTGTTAATCAAAAAAGTGCATGATAAATATAGATATTGTTTCTCAAAAGAAAGAGTCGACTCAGAATCGCCTTAACGAAACGCCTTTCGAATCTTCTGCCCGTTACCGCTCTAAGTCACTGGGTAACATTTTACATTTTCAATTGAGTGCTCAAAATATCTATTTTTTTTTTGTGCTAATATGTGATGTATACCTAGTGCAGCTTTTAGGTTTCCTTTTTACTGAAATAGTTCTGATAATTCGCTGTGAACCCACTATTTCCTAAGAATGTGTTGATTAATGTAGACTGACATTGTTCTAATTACTTTGTTTAATAATAAAGAATGTAGTGTATTATTGTCACGTATCCGGTCCATGAACTTCCGTCTGCTAGCCATCAGAGGTCACCCTTCCCATTTCATGGACTCTCGCACAACACACTGTTGCATATCACCCCGGACTACATATCCCATCATCCACTGCACTGATGACACACACACAGTTGATTGTACAGCACTGATTGCACACAGCTGTTTTCACTCACACATCCCCTATTTAACTCTCACTCTGATCCCATTCCACTGCCGAGTATTGTTTAGCGATTATCACTCTCCTAGGATAGCTACATTACAGAGCCCATTTAGTTTGTCTTATCCTTACCTTAGTCTTGCCTTGTCTGTGTTCTCTGTCCTTGATCTTCGCCTGTGTCTCTCGGATTCCTCCTCTCGTCTTGCTCTATTTTTTATTCTGTTTGCCCCTGCCTGGACCTTGCCTTGTACCTGGACTTATCCCTCTAGTCTCACCCCTTTGATTCTGTTTGATAATCGTTCACCTCCGCTAGCATTAGGTTTCTTCTTGTGTCTTGCCCGCCATATACCTGTCTGCCATTATCTGACCCATGCCTGTTTTAGGACCACGTCTCTGTCTTCTCCTAATAAATAGCTTGCAAGTGGACCCGCATGTCTCACGTCTCGTCAGCCCCGTAACA